CAAGGGATCTCGAGTGGTCATCAAGTCCAGCGCCCTGCACTCCTGGTCCTCTGGGTCAGCACCTTTTAAAAATCTCCAGAGATGGAAATTCCACAACTACTCCAGACAATGTATTCCAGTGCTTAAACACCTGAGAGTTAGAAAGATTTCCCTAATGCCCAACCTAAACCTCATTTACTGAAATTTAAGCCTATTATTTTTGTCCTATTATCTCAAACTATGCAGAATAATTTTTCTCCCTCTGTCTTGTAATAACATTTTAGTCCCCATGCACTGTCCCCTTTTCTACATTATACAAATTCTTTTATACAGTTCTTTTAATCTTCCCTCATAAAGAATGTTTCCCTGTCCTTTGTTGTTGAAGTCCCTTCGACTTCTTACAGTGTAGAAAGTTAAGGTACAGTACTTCAACTTCATCTATGCAATTAACATAGCTGAAGTTGCATATCTTAATTTGACCTTATCCCATAGTGTAGACATACCCTATAAGACTTTTACAAGTCTTCTTTCCCAACTTCAATGATTTTTCAAAGATAATAGTTAAATGGCTTGGATATATTCTCCTCTGAATCCTTGATATTCTAGGATATATTTCAGGAGACCATGGTGACTTGAAGATATCTAACAGGAAGTGTTTCATATTTAGATTATGCATCTGACTAAGTAGGCCTTTACACCGGAAAGCTTATGCTCTAATAAATCTGTTAGGCTATAAGGTGCCACAGGACTCCTCGTTGCTTTTGCAGATCCAGACTAAAACGTCTACCCCTCTGATATTAACATTGTCTCTCCATCCAGGCATTTGTTCTATGAACATCACCCCAGAACCTCGGCATCCATCTCAAAGTTGGACACCTCCCTTACTTCATGCCAGATTCCAACACCACTGACTTCACCAACCCCTCCACCTTCATCTTGCTGGGCATCCCTGGCCTGGAGGGGAAACATGTCTGGCTCTCCATCCCCTTCTGCACCATGTACATCATAACCCTCTTGGGGAACATCACCATCCTATTAATCGTGAAGAGGGAGCCGAGCCTCCATGAGCCCATGTACTATTTCCTCTGCATGCTGGCCATCACTGATCTGATCATGTCTACATCCATCCAGCCCAAAATGTTGAGCATCTTCTGGTTCAATTCCAGGGAGATCAGGTTCAGTGCCTGCCTCACCCAGATGTATTTTGTTCACTGCTTCTCTGTGATAGAATCTGGGATCTTCGTGGCCATGGCTTTTGATCGCTACGTGGCCATCTGTGATCCCCTGAGACATTCCACCATCCTGACAAACCCTGTAGTGACCAAGATTGGCCTGGCTGTGGTTCTGCGTGGAAGCGTGCTCCTTATTCCCCATCTCTTCCTGGCAAGGCAGTGGCCATATTGCAGAACCAACATCATCCCCCACTCCTACTGTGAGCACATCGCCGTGGTGAAGCTGGCCTGTGCTGACATTCCCATCAGTAATTACTACGGCCTCTCTGTGGCATTTTTCATTACCGGCCTGGACGTGTTTTTTATTGCTCTGTCCTACACTCAAATCCTCAGGGCCATTTTTCACCTCTCCACAAAGAACGCCCGGCTCAAAACATTTGGAACCTGCAGCTCCCACCTCTGTGTTGTCTTAGCTTTTTACATCCCAGGTCTCTTCTCCTTCCTGACACACAGGTTTGGCCAGAATGTGGCCCTGTATTTCCACATTCTCATGGCCAACATCTACCTCCTATTGCCCCCCATGCTAAACCCCATCATCTACGGGGTGAGGACCAAACAGATCCGGGAAAAGCTCTTATCTCCTCCAGGGTCCTTAAATTTTCTCCTGGTGCTGTGAGAGAGCCTAATTCGAACTACCTACTCCATGCCGTGTGTAGCCGCGATCACGCAGTCCGCACTAAGGGGGATTTAAAAATGGCGGTGCCTGGTAAGATGCAAATGAAGCCCAAGATATTTAAATACCGGCCTTCATTTGCAACTTCGAATGCCTACATTAGCCATCCTAGTTCGAACGAGGGTGGCAGTATAGACATACCCTGACTCTCTCCCAGAACCTACACCCCAACCCTGAGCCTCCTCCTGCACCCGAATTCCCACCCACACCCTGATCCTTCTGACCTGAGTCCCCTTCCCACACTTCAAATCCTTCGGCCCCAGCCTGTATTTGGTCCTGCCATGGGGACAGGGGACTGGACTCGATGACTCTCGATGTCCCTTCCAGTCCTAGTATTCTATGATTCTGTGACCTGCAGAGGAGTCGGAACTCCCGGGGTTCTCTCTGGGACCCTTCCACTCAATGTGTCTGACCTTGGCCAATTCATGTCTTCCTGCTTATCTGTATTATGGGTTTCTATTCAGTCACTTTCCATTGCAAGATCTTGTCAGTGCCCTTCAGAGAAAGGTGCTGCACAAAGTGATGACAGTTACTGAGGAGAATGATTGACTTCTCATCCCTTACTGTCACCCCTGTGTGCCTGCAGAAAGTGTTAGTGTCTGTCTTTAGTCACCTTTCTCCAGATCGATCTGTTTACATCCTGGGCATTTACAAAGGGGTCATATACATTATCCTTCATTTTCTTCCTAATCTCCTATCGTTTTTAAATATACTCAAATGCACAGAGCAGCCAATTCCTCTCTGACTCAGCTAGGAGCCCAAGAGTTCTCCTCTCCCTTTGGGAAGGGCCCTTAACTAGTGTTTACTCTTATGTTGAATAAATAGCCCAGAGGCCCAGACAGGCTGGTCTCCTGCCTTTTTCCATCCAAATGCTCACTTATCCACGAGGGGCTGAGTGAACCGCACTGGGATTGCCCAGAGCTATATTAATAACGGTGCACAGCTCTGTGCCAGCTCTCGGTGTGGGACGATGCTGCAGATGCTTGGCAAGAGAGACATGTGACAAGTCTACTTGAGGGGGCTCCCAGGGAAGACACACCCCTCTCAGAAATCACAGGTACCCGACTCGGGCTGAGGAGCTCAATAAATCCAGAGCATCATAAGATAGAGAGTAAGTCTGGGATCCTTTCTTCTCTGTGCAGCCTGTTAATATCCCTTTGCCACAGGGATATTGGCATGAGTAGGCAAAAGGTGACTCTTTTCTGGGCATCCTTTCCCATTACCTAGAGCCTCACCCCATTTCAGTAGCAATGGGCGTCATTCAGGTTTCATAGAATCATAGAATTATAGAATCATAAGATTGGTAAAGACTGCGGGAGTCATCGCGTCCAACCCCCTGCCCAATGCAGGACCAGCCCCAACCAAATCAACCCAGCCAGGGCTTTGTCAAGCTGGGACTTAAAACCTTTAGGAATGGAGATGCCACCCCTCCCTAGGGAACCCATCCCAGTGCTTCCCCACCCTACCAATGAAAACGTTTTTCCTAATATCAAAACTAGACTTTCCCCCACTGCAACTTGAGAACATTGGTCCTTGTTCTATCACCTGTCACTACTGAGAACATCCTCTGTGGAACTAACCTTCAGGTATTTGATGGCAGCTATCATTCTTCTATTCAGTAAACTAAATAAGCCCAAATCCCTCAGCTTCTCCTCATAAGTCATTTGCTCCAGCACCCGAATCATTTTTGGTTCCCTGTGCTGGACTTTCTGCTTAGCCAGTTGGTCCCCAGACTGTAGCAGTGGTTGGGGTTCTTCCATCCCAAGTGAAGGATTCTGCATTGTCCTTCCTGAACCTCATCCAATTTCTTTTGGCCCAACTCTCCAATTTGTGTAGGTCACTCTGGATCCTATCCCTCCCCTTCAGCATATCTACCTCTCCCCCTAGCTTCATGTCATCTGCAAACTTGTTGAGGGTGCAATCCATCCCCCCATTGAGCTCATTAATAAAGATGTTGAACAATACCAGCCTTGGAACCAACCCTTGGGTCACTCTGCTTGATACCGACCACCAAGCAGACATTGAGCTGTTGATCGCTACCCGTTGAACCTAATGATCTAGCCAGCTTTCTAGCCAGTTTACATTCCATTTATCTAACCCAGACATCCTTAACTTACTGGCAAGGATACTGTGGGCGACTGTATCAGAAGCTCTGGTAAAGTTAAAGTGTTTCACATTCTCCACCTTTCCCATATCCATACAGTCAGCTGCATTATCATAGAATGCAATCCGGTTGTTGAGGCATGACTTGCCCTTGGTAAATCCATGTTGACTATTTTTAATTACTTTTCCTTTTTCCAAGTGCTTCAAAATGGATTCCTTGAGGATCCCCTCCATGATTTTTCTGGTGAGTGAAGTGAGGCTGACTGGTCGGTAGGTCCTGAGATTCTACTTCTTCCCATGTTAAAGATGGGCACTATATTTGCCTTTTTCCATTCATCTGGGGCCTCCTCTAATAACCACAAGTTTGCAAAGATGGCTCTTCAATCCCATCAGCGAACTCCCTCAACACCCTCAGATGCATTACATCTGGCCCCATGAATTTGTGTACTACCAGCTTTTCTAAATGTTCCTAACCTGCAGTTAAGAAACTAGAGTTAAAAACCAGTACTTAGCCTCTTAGTAGCAAAATACAGGTCCCAATTCTCAGGTCATGACTCTTATTTTACCCAGGACCCACTGTGAGAAATTTCCCCTGAATAATATTGAATAAAGACCTGAAAAGCCAGCTGTGTGTTAATACAAATAGACTGACCCACCCTCCTCTTGAATCTCATGTCTCTGGTCCTTAACTGGAGGTGTGGGGACTGGGACCATTACCTGCCTTGTGTCTCCTGAAAACCATGCAAGTGGAAGGGTTTCTCGTGGGAACAGTATGATGAATACATAATTTCTCATAGCTTTATTCATTAGTCACCTGAACGGTTATGCCTGAATCTTTAAAAACAAACCTCCCAAAAAACCCTAACTATTCAACTGAAAGCAGTCACAGTGTAGGAGTTTTCATTCCCAAAGCTGAAGTTTGGAAAACTTGTAAGCTACCGAAATAGAACTAGAAGGGTAGCCATGTTAGTCTGGATCTGCAAAAGCAACAAGGAGTCCTGTGGCACCTTCGAGACTAACAGATGTATTGGAGCATAAGCTTTTGTGGGCAAAGACCGCACTTCGTCAGATGCATGACATCTGTTAGTCTATAAAGTGCCACAGGACTCCTTGTCGCTTCTGCAGATCCAGACTAACACGGCTACCCCTCCTCTCATGCATCTGACGAAATGGGTCTTTGCCCACGAAAGCTTATGCTCCAATACATCTGTTAGTCTAGAAGGTGCCACAGGACTCATTGTTGAAATAGAACTATTCTCCTTGAAAGTGATGGATGGCTTTTAACTAAAGGTGATGCCATCAACCCTCTTCCAATTGCAAATCCCTTAGGGAATCCCATTCAGCTAAGTTCTTCACTTCACTAAAGTCTGTGTAATGAAGTTCTGCAGGCCAGATCTGGATTGTATAAGCAATTTTCTTTTATCGGTGTTATATGTTTAAACATTCAATGGAATTGTATGTTCACTTACTCTTGTTTTATGTGACACAGTAACTATAAATGCCTGATCTACTTTCTTTACCAATAGATTCATAGAATTTAAAGTCAGAAGAGACCATAAGATCATCCATAAGATCTTCTGTGTACCACAGGCAATTAAATTTCACCCAGTTACCCCTACATCGAGCCCGATGTTTTGCATGTCACTCCGGGCTGGTTCACATCAGGGTCTTATACTCTAGAATCAAAGAACCACAGAATGAGAAGGATTCGTTTGATATGACCAGTTTTACAGATACCATGTTGCTGATTCACATTAATAACACTCCTAGACTTTTTTATAAAAATATCCCATTCCACATTTTCATTGTTTCCTAATCCTGTCAAACATTTTTATTTTGAATATTCACTTATTTTTTGACAATTATGTTTAACAGAGATAGTACTATACTAGCCTCCTTTCTGAGTCAAATAAGGCCTCTGCTTCTTTCTGCCTGGTTGCCCACTTCTGGTTCTGAATGAGATGTGTGGTTAATTGGTCAGTTTATAATTGCGGTGTTCGTAACTCTACACTGGAGTTATTCTGAAATAACATAGGCTGTGTCTAGACTACATGCCTCTGTCATCAGAGGCATGGAGATTAGACACATAGGCAAAGGCAAATGAAGCGGCGATTTAAATGATCACGGCTTCATTTAAATTTATATGGCTGCCGCGCTGAGCCGACAAACAGCTGATCAGCTGTTTGTCCGCTCAGCGCGGTAACTCTACACTGGAGTTATTCTGAAATAACATAGGCTGTGTCTAGACTACATGCCTCTGTCATCAGAGGCATGGAGATTAGACACATAGGCAAAGGCAAATGAAGCGGCGATTTAAATGATCACGGCTTCATTTAAATTTATATGGCTGCCGCGCTGAGCCGACAAACAGCTGATCAGCTGTTTGTCCGCTCAGCGCGGCAGCCATGTAAATTTAAATGAAGCCGCGATCATTTAAATCGCGGCTTCATTTGCCTTTGCCAAAACAACAAATCTACATGGCTCCGTTGATGGAGCCATGTACTTTAGACGTACCCATAGTGTGCATCTACACTGCAAGCCTTTATTTCAAAATAATTTCGAGCTGGAGGACTTGTTACTCCGACTCCTGGTAACTCTCATTTCACGAGGAGGAAGGGAAG